GCATCTCATCTCATCTCATCTCATCTCATCTCATCTCATCTCATCTCATCTCATCTATCTATCTATCTATCTATCTATCTATCTAATCTATCTAATCTATCTATCTATCTATCTGTCTATCTATCTATCTAATGAATCTATCTGTCTAAGACTATGTATCTAACTAATCTATCTATCTAGCGTTCTTATCTATCTATCAATCTATCAATCTATCTGTCTATCTAATTAATCTATCTATCTATGTATCTAATTAATCTATCTATCTAATCTAATCTAATCTAATCTAATCTAATCTAATCTATCTATCTATCTATCTATGTATCTAATTAATCTATCTATCTAATCTAATCTAATCTAATCTAACCTAACCTAATCTAATCTAATCTATTCTAATCTATCTATCTCATGAATCTATCTAATCTAATCTAATCTAATCTAATCTAATCTAATCTATCTATCTAATCTATCTAATCTATCTATCTATCTATCTATCTATCTTTTTATCTATCTATCTATCTATCTATCTGTTTATCTATTTATCTATCCATCTATCTATCTATCTATCGATCTATCTATCTATCTATCTATCTATCTATCTATGTATCTAATCTATCTATCTATCTATCTATGTATCTAATCTATCTTTCTATCTATCTCATTATTCTATCTATCTATCTATCTATTGATCGATCTATCTACCTATCTATCTATCTATCTATCTATCTATCTATCTATCTATCTATCCATCTATCTATCTATCTGTCTATGTATCTATTTAATCTATCTATCTATCGTTCTTTTCTATCTATCTATCGTTCTTATCTATCTATCTATCTATCTATCGATCTATCTATCTTTGTATCTAATGAATCTATCTATCTATCTATCGATCTATCTATTTATCTATCTATCTATCTATCGATCTATCTATTTATCTATCTATCTATCTCTCTCTCTCTATCTATCTATCTATCTATCTGTCCATCTATGTATCTAATTTATCTATCTATCTAATCTAATCTAATCTAATCTAATCTAATCTAATCTAATCTATCTATCTCATGAATCTATCTAATCTAATCTAATCTAATCTAATCTAATCTAATCTAATCTAATCTATCTATCTAATTATCTATCTACCTACCTACCTACCTTTCTATCTATCTATCTATCTATCTTTCTTTCTATATCTGTATCTATTCCTTGCAATCAGCCTTTTTTTTTCATGGAGTATTTGCCTTTCCTCATAATCTGAAAACGATGTACCTCAAAGCTTAGATTTGAACAGTTTATGGTTGTAAAAAATGACCACACCTTTTGCGCCCTTATGCTCAGTCCCCCAGAGAGGTTTCCACCGGCACAGGAGCGGCTTGCCCAACCAGAAGCCTGAAGAACTCCTTTCGCACATACATCAGCCACTTGCACAAGATACAGCCCTCACTTCTCTGAAAGGTATAGACATCTCATATGGGTTTGTCTGAAGATGGGGTATACCCCAGAAATGACTATTTTAATTGGTCAGAGTGGCAATTTACCATTGGATTTAGGGGTACGTTATTTTTAGACAACCCCATATCTTAGATTCCCCAAACAGTTTTCCGGTCATCAGTTTTCCGCCCATGAAAAAAACGGGATGAACGGCCTGAAGCTGGCCCAACTCACGTTGACATGAATCCTGTGTTGGGCTAAATCCCCCAACCAAGTTTTGGATTTACGAGAATTTGCCAATTTTTACTACATATATATATAATATGGTAAACCCAATTGTAACACACCCTATCAGGATCTATCAGGGTAATTATGGTTCTTGACATTTCACAAATGATCAAATTGGGTCAAAGAGTTACGGTTTAGCTTTGGGTTTGCCGCATTACTAACATACATGATTATATTAGCTATATAAATAATAACTGAATAGCGATATGCATCGCCATTTCCTCCTTCAGCCACGAGCTAGTTGTTTGGTTTGGTTTTGAGTTGTGGGTATCAGGACCACATCTTATTTTGTTGTCCATTGCCACGTTCCTTTACCGTCATTGGGTAGTGCGAGCCATCAACCCACACCAATCAATCAACCAAAGGTTGAAGACCCTGGGGAACGCAGATTCTGATCGTTCATGACTGGGCACCCAGTCTTATACATATGCTTATCAGCAATTATAGCACACACATGTATAATTAATGTTTTTTAGATATATAGATATATATATATATACATACTTAAATAGGATATATATATATATGGCATATATGTGTGTACATGTATAGTGTATAATCATATATAATGTTTTGAAATATAGATAGATATACGTATTTATTTTCAGATTTTTTCCATTGCCAAGGGGTCTCTGAAAATCGCCTTGCCAGGTTGGTCGACCTTGGTGTGGACCATCTCTCAGTCTACGACTTGCAATACGAGCCCGGCACCGCCTTCGGGAAGCGCTTCCCGGTGGCAGGTGACAACGGGCGGCCCAGCAGCGACAAGGCGGCGGAGATGTATGAAGCGGTGTAACTTGGAAAAAACAAATACTTGATTTTCTGGTGGTTTTAATATGTTTTAATGAAATTAGTTAAATCATTTCAAATCCCAATTTTTGATGGTTAGAATCACATGTTGGATAGTTTGATGGTTGGAATCATAATTGCTATGTTTAACCTATTATTGATTCTTGAGGATTTTGCCCATGGAGCTTCAATTGCCCTCACATGACGACCCTTCTACAAGTGAGTACAAAACTACTGTTCTGCACAAATTTGGCGATTCTCGGGGTCTATGTCAGTTGGGGAGAGAACATGTGTTCCCATCTTGGATGAAGCCTTAGATAATGCTTAAAGGATTGCCAAAGTAACGTCAACACTGGATTCATGAACCCCTGGATTGGTACTTGAGGATTTATATTAGTAGCATACTATCACCCTGTAATGCTACCCAGCATTCCAAGAGATTTGATGGGATTTTGAAGATTTTAGACGGTTTTAGCATGTGTTGACTAGCAGGGACTTGGCACTCGGAGGCTGAAACCAGTTTGTAATAGCTAGCAGCTATATAGTAGTCTTCATGGGCTTCCCTTGGTGTTTACTATTATAGCTTAGGCCCTAGGCTTAAAGTTTTTTTAAACAAACTATATACATGTTCAATCCTTTACAATCCGTTTCAGCTTCTCGCAGCTCAAGGTCTGAGGGGGGAACAAAGTCATTAAGGTGCCAAAATTGGCCATGTCCCCTGGTTGATTTGCTCTGTGTTTGTGTGTGTGTAAATACATGGGGGTTTCCTGAAATGGTGTACCCCAAAATGGATGGTTTATAATTAATGGAAAATCCGACTAACATGGATGATTTGGGAGTACCCCTATTTCAGCAGTAAACCTCCACGTGTAATACATGTAGGCATCGAGTTGTCAGGTGGATGCGCCAATCGATTTGTTTCTTCGAGCGGCACTGAGGCATTGGGGACTGGAGAAGTTGGGTTTCGAGCACTACGAGGTGGGCCACGGATGGTTCACTTGTCCCAGGTTCAACAGGAACTCTCGATGTTGGATGTACGTAGCTCATCACCATTGGTCACCATCATCACCATCATCATCATCATCGTCATTATCAAATCAATCGGGAATGGCTTTTCTACCGTTTTTGGGAGGACTCTACCTCTCTAACCCTGACAATTTGAGGTGAGTTGACATGATGAAACATGGCCGAAAGTAGATTTGTCAAGATGGCCGAGGGCCTAGTCGTGTCCAAGGCTTTGGTTTTATTAAGGTTTAGGCTGGTTCCCTACAGCCTACAGCCTGCCAATCCAAACTCTTGAAGAAAGTTGGTGACCATCACATCATTATGATCATCCATGTTTGTAAAAGATATCGATAATTGATAACAAGCACATACAAATGATGCCAAAGATCTAAAGAAACATATTGGAAGGGTAAAGATAAACATCTAAAATCTTGACACATTGCTTCCTGTCAGCGCTCCATCGTTCTGCGCATTTCTACGCTGTGCAGGTGTCCAACTACGCCCGCCGGTCCAGCGACGGAGCAAAACGATCCCGGCACAACCAGGTCTATTGGCACGGCAAGCCCTACGCCGCCTACGGCAATGGCGCGGCATCCTTTGTGAACTCCGTTCGTGCAAGCCGATGCACGTCGCAGAGAACCCCCTCCGGTGTCATCAAACATGGCTGGGAAATCCCGAACTACAAATGGGGGTTTTAATAGGAAAATCATCGAACCCAATTGGTGGTTTTCCGGCACGTCATGTTTGACTACACTTGGGGTTTGATTACCAGTTGCACTCCGTTGCGCAATCTTGCGCAGGTGACCAGCATGAGTTTAGGGGGCCCTGCATCTCTTTGATGTCAACGATATATTTGATATTTTGTCCAAATTTGGATACATTTGTAGTGAAACGTAAATCTGGGTTGTTGACATATGACATGATATGACTTGATGGACGAAAAACGCGCGACCCCCTCGGGGCGACGGTCCCTTGTTTTTTTCCCCCGCATGCATGGATATTTGTTTTGGACATGCATTCCCTTAGTGTGAGCTGTCAGTTCGGGACTTAATACCTCACAGCTCACAGCTATCCACATCTTAGACATATAGTCTTCTCGTTGACAAAACCAAGAAGTAGAATGTGAATTGACTGATGATGGTGTACATACTTGTCTGGGCCGACTTGATCATGCAAATTATATCATATTACTCAATTATCCTCACCCTTGGTCAAATTGCAATCCTTGTTGCTTAAAGCCACAGATTGTCAATGTCCATTTTGGATGGTCAAATGTTCATTCATTTCTGGTAAGGTTGGGGATTGTTTACTAATTCCATCCACCTAAAATAAAATACCACCACTTAGAAAGCCTGGTTTAGGATTGTTTTTTTCCTCATTTTCGGGGCGCGAGATTACAGGGACGGTTTAAGAGTACCCAAGAACCGGGGAAGATCATAATTTTCCCTGTTACTGTAACATGGCAACACAATGGGAGTATACAAACCGTTCTCACATACACCCAAATAGGTCTGATAAATTTATCCCCAGTACATATCCATTATATCCCCATTTGCATCTCCGTTTCTACAATCATTAGTAAAACCCACCATTTTGCATGGCAAATCCAACAATGAATATATAAATATATTGATATAATATATATATATATATGATATTTATTGACATGTGGGTGTCTGACAGACTTTCGCACACCCAAATATCACACATATATATATATATATGATACGTATATATATATATATGTTGTTGGATAGTTATATCCCCATCATATCCCTGTTAAATCATTTATTCCCTATTAAAACCCACATGAAATAGCAATTAAATAGCAACAAAGCATCGAGTTTACCACCTTGAATACCATCTTACCACATAGATACCAATTGAATACTTATATCCCCAGCAAATAGCAATTTTATATGCAGCTTATATATATTTGTTAAGCATAGGTTTATAACCTTTTAAAATTGTCTACCACTAGTGATAGCATGTATATCACCATTACATAGCCCTTAATATCAATTAAGTAGCCATTAATATCAATTCCCGCTGAAAGCATCTAAAAACATCTAAAAACCATATATGTGGTTGCCCTGAACTTCCAAAGGCCTTCAAAACAAGGTCGCTTTACTAAAGCCCCTCATACAGAGGTTCTTTGAGCAAAGTCCCTTATATATGCTATAGGTGTCTAAGCTGGTTCTTACCTTGACCATTACACAGTTACACATTTCCCGCAGATGCACAAACTCCCCACACACTGCACCGCATGCACACGTGTGCGCAGCTACAATACGTTCTTACGCCCAGTTCTTTGGAGCTGCTGCCTATCATGTTTACTATTTTTTGGGCACTAAGGTTGGTTTGGAGCAGTCACATAGAAAAACACCGCTCATCGGCCAGTTTTCTTTGCTCTGTTTTGTTTGGCACAAAGTTTAATTGTCAAGCTTTCGATCAAGATCATCCTAGATTCATAGACGGACGTTGGTAGCGCATCAAAACGCATTTCCAACATTTTCCAACTCTTCAAAGTGCTTTCATCCCAAGAAAAAGTGTGCGAGCGGGAAGTTTCAGACATGTCAAAATGTTGGCCTCCGAATTCACGGTCCTTTCACGCTATGAGAGGTCCTTTCACGCTGTGGGAGGTCCTTTTCACGCTGATTCACGCTCAGATTCGCTCGCCCAAAACTTTTGCGCTGAGAGGGGGGCAATCCAACACTTTGAAGTAACAGGTATTGAACGTAGCCACACAAATAAAATGTGGATTGACTGGTTGCTGTGGTAGAAGTGAATTTGCCAGCTTCAGTGGAGGGTGGAAGTTTCAATCTGTTTGGGCGACAGTCCAGCGGGCATGTCCTTGGGAAGTAAGTGGGTCAATGTTCCGCGCGAGTAGATTGCATTTTTTGCAATGAGCGCCCACGTATATCAACATCTATTTTCAAACGCGTAGTGATTTGATCGCGTCCAGCATGAAGCATAAACTGCCCCACAAGTCCAAGGGATTCCAGTGGTAAATTCGGAGGTCCTTCCAGGTCCTTTGGTCAAATAATGGGACCTTGTTTTGAGGTCCTTTGAGGATTAGGGGTTAGATAGTTATATTATTATATTTTCAGATGAGTTTGTCTTACTGAAATCACCATTATATAAATAGCCGTTAGATACCCCCAAAAAAAAGCCAAAACTCGTGTTTCAAGGATGATATGTCCTGCAAATTCTCCCGGTTTCCCAACTCTTCGGCATCTTGGGGAAGTGTACCCTCGGGTAAACTACTGTAACAGTTTGCTATGGAAAATCACAATCTTTAAGTTCGGTAAATCAGCGAACTAAACGGCAATTTTCCATAGCTTCACCATTATAATAGGTTAAATATCAACTATTTCTACGGTGATCATGACAGTATGGCCATTTTCAGGTTTTCAACATTTATAATAGGTTAGTTTACCTCTTTAATAGGTAAATCAACTATAAATATCTATAAATGGGCCATTTTCCCATATAGCTTTTGGTATGTTTTCCAGCTAAAGGTGTCCCCACTTCACCCAGGACCTCGCAGTTTGGAGGCCTACACGGCCTGGATCGAGGCCGATGGAGCTGCAGAGCACTTGGAGCTGGACACATCTCAGAGGGATCACCTGGCGGATGCCATGTGGCTGGGAAAAATCACCGGGAAAGCGGTGAAAATCATAGGGAGATGGGAAAATCATGAGGAAATGATGGAAATGAATGGAAATTAATGGACATGATGGGCAAATGAATCGGAAAATCACCTGTAGATGGAAGTTCAATGATCAATTTTAATGGCTACTAATGGCTATGTCATGGGGGGACTTATAAATGAGTGATATGTTCACGACTAAAATCTATATGAAAATTGGATGAAATTGGTAATCCATGGCTATATACCATCAAAAACTAATGGATGCAACTTAAAAAATAGGGGATTACTGAAAAGAGGAATTTACAGAGGTTTATCCCAGCTACTCAAGACATGAGGGTGGATCAAAACCCCCAAATCCTGTTCAAACTAGTTTTGAACATTTGCCAGTTATTTTGATGCTCGCCGGGGCTACATACAGGATTTTGACACATCCCTACATCTTTATATGAGAGAATTATATACAACGACCTGAGGCTGCGACTTCACTGATTTCAGATAGTTAAGATGACTTTGAGCTGCCAAGGAACCAAACCAGATTAATTATTGTGGATTATCGATTTCCTCCCGCTAGTTGATGTGATATCCTTAAGAATATGGGGTCCACCAACCAAAACGAAAATGTTTATTACTGGCATGTAACATGCAAAAATATGCAAAAATGAGGAATTGATTATAAATTGATTCTGTCCACTCCAGGTGACTGGCTGGGGGCGAAAGCTGGGGTTGTGCAAAAACGGCTGGGGGAAACCCATGGAAGACGGCCTAATACATCCAAGGTTTATCAGTTTATCAATGTTTATTAACAGTGCTCATATCGTTGCCATCAGGGGTGCCCACCATTTTTGGACAAACCCATTTTGGATTCAGTTGGATCAAACCGAATTCTCTCGGTAACGGGTCATTGTCTCAATCAATAATCGTTGCTGGTGATATCAACGTTTGGGAATGTATACTTGTATGACGGTTCAAAGCACCAACCAACTTACTGCTTCACTTCCCTATGTTTTGGGTGAATACCTCCGTCGAGCATGTGGGGTTGTCAATATCCCCAAGATGTGGCAAATTAGATAGAGAGAACGAGAAACAACTGAATTTTGGTTGTACCCCACTTGTTCTTTTTGGCCACACCTGTACTACCGTAATTATCATTACCCTTCACTTCCGTTGTCAAGCCGCTATGATAGTCGTACCTGTCATATCCCTTGATTGCAGATCATGTATGTTATTCTACTATACTAGTTACTCGTTGTCCCCAGTATCGCTTCTTTTGGCTATATGAGGTGATGCGGGCAAACCAATCACAAACCATTGGACTATGCCTTGCTTTGATCAAGCTTAGCATATTCTGAAACACCACAACTGCCAATGACCTTCAATCCACCAACCAAGGTCACATGATCATGAGAATCAGTATGTACGCAGTATATATACGTATATATATATATATATTTGTATACTGTATATTAAGTGCCTATTGATAAAGCACATTATGGAATTGATATTGATACATTCCAATCGCAGACTCAGCCAACTCAGCCAACTCCCTTGGAAGGAAAGCCCCATTTCTGGTGGTAAAAACATGTAAAAACCCATCCATTGACCAACCCAACCCTTGAGTCCTTGAGTCTCAGACTTGTTTCCGAAACTTTTCAGGAAACCCTTATGGTTACCAGCAATAGCAGGAGAATCAACCTATGTGTTATATCATCCCAACAAAAGTCATAAAGACACCATGAGGATCTAAATGGAATATGAACAGTTTCCCCATCCTTAATAGTTTATTCCAAAAATCATTGGTATCTTTCTATGTTCCCAAGAAAAATCTCCCCTTAACGGTGCCTTAACGCTTGAGGATTGAGGCCACCATGCTGAGCCTCCGCACCTCCGATGGCCTGGACCTCTCCGCGCAAGACGACGAAACGCGGCGCTGCCTGCGGGCCATCGCTGGGGCACTGCAGCGCTGGGAGGAGAGCGGCGCCGTGGAGCTGTGACGTGGCCCAGGGAGGCGGGGCAGGTGGTGCCAGGCCCCCTGAGTCCGGTTGGTTGGTTTACCCATAGAAACTACAGATATCTGATACATATACATATATATATATATACCATAATACATCATAAACCCAAACGTGAAATTGGAACTATAAACCAGAAAAGCTAACTGGGGCACCACCCTTATAGATGTGGAAAAGCCATGGTTTTCCTAGGACAATGATCTAGAAAGGGTCGGTTTTCCTCATCGAACCGTGAGTTTACAGGAGGGTAAAATCTATTGAATGGTTATTTAATGACTATTTTCCATCAATCATGGATAGACATTGGAGATTTAAGTAGACAAAATGGATATCATTGGCTATGATGGCTATGTCATTGGCAGCATTCATATAATGGGTATACAATGGCTACTTGATGAGGAGGTGATGGCTATTTCTGAATGGGGATACAAGGAGGATATAATGGAAACATATGGAAACATGATACAACGGTGATACTACTGCCCAGTTTCTTGAGTAATCCTTCAGTGGCAATGACTGTAGCATAGACTGCCCAGTGATTTGATATTTCGGTGTGTCATACGGTAAATGTCTTAGAACATGTCAGAACCATGGCTGCCGACCATTTCTCATGCAAGTTTGTCCACCCCTAAGTCCACAGGTTCATAATGTCCGCTGTTAAAATTGCAATTGTGTTGATTTTCGATGATTTTCGTACTACCATCTGCCATATCCGACACTACGCCTTCATTTTAGGTTGTACAATGGTTTCACACACACAGGTGATACCCCAGTGTTGGCTAAGGCAGCTTGACGAGTCTGGATGCCGTTTGAAGGCCAAACTCATCGCCCCCCAGGGGTTTCTGGTCTCAGATGCCCTGCTTTCCGACGCCTTTGCAGCCGTGATGGACCTGGAAGAAGCACCGGGAAAAACGATGTGACGACGGTCCTGAGTTGTTTCTATGAGGAATTCCTGTCAAGGAATTGAACTGTGTTGCTATTTGTTTGCTACCAGAATGGCCAGCACAGTCACTGGAGACTTGAGAATTGTTGACACCAAGGTCAAAATCAGCTGTTGGACTCGTTGTTTTTTTTTCTTGCTTGGGTCGACAGCGATTCTGTCCCGCACTGCAAGGCTGGGCTGAAGCTTTGCAGCTTGGCGCTAAGGTGCGACTCCTGTGATTCATGGCCCATGTGAAAAAGCATTCGGCCACAACAAACAAGTTGCGACTGTATCAAGTAACATTAAGTTTTACATTGCTTGGTGATGTGGCAAACCCATGTAAACCCACTATTACCCTTTTGGGAGATGGTAAAAGTACGGTTACCATGTTTGGTTAAATTAGGGATGGTTGATCCTTGGGTTTACCACATCATTAAACTCATTAAACATTACACTTGGATACACTTGGTATCACTTGGTATTGGGATGGGCACTTCCGACCAAATCCCAACCTCCATGGCTCAGGCCACAAATCTTGCCAGCGCTGTGGCTTTAGAAATGGCCTACCGCGCGGCAGCGGAGGGAGGCCTGTAGTGGCTGTACAACAGCGAGGGCTCATGAAAAGAAATGGGGACTTCGCCCATTCATAAAGTGGATTTCACCAAGCAGGGATGCAGAATCATAGTCAAACAAAAACTTGCGGTTTTTCCCCCAAACATTGGTGCAGTGGGATATGATGGATATAGCGGGCAGGCGACCACCGAATACCAGATGGAACGGCATGGGAGCCCCGGCATGTAATGTAAGCAGGCCATCACCCACAGACAGTTGTTGGAGTTTACAGTTTATTGTAAGCCAGGAACATTGCAATAGACTCACTTAGGGATAGGTGGTGGTAGCACAAGTTAAAACAGATCAAAGTGCAAGCTCTGCAACAATGGTGTGAAACACACCATGTGGATCTCCGCGATAAGCGCAAGGATTGTGACGGCCTGTTGGGTTCTCTTCCAAAGTACAATGTGAAACAGCAATTCGTTCGATGATGTGCCATGGTCAAAGCATGTCAATATTGGCAGTTGTTCACATATTGGGAGTTCCATTTACAGGGATGTGTATGCCCATTATGTTTGGATTCCCTGTACGGGGTTGATGACCATATCACATATAGGTCGGACAAACTAGATTGAACAGATTGAACATATTTCCCCGTCTTTCCCGTAAAGTCTAGTTGTGACGACTTAGGTTAGGTATAAACCAACAAAGCTAACATTTTGGAAAACCAACCTTGGTTAATATTCCCAAAATGCACAGGAAAACTCAACACTCAACCCATCGATGAACCGAAATCCTGACAGCTAGCAGCGCTAGCGCAGCGCTCTCTAGCCAGGTGCCGCTGGTGTCCAACTGGTGAAACCTTCCTGTTTATGTTTGAGAAGATAAGGGGGATCGATATATCATAATCATATAGAAAGAGAGAGAGAGAGAGAGGCGAGAGAGAGAGAGAGAGAAAGCAATGATTATATATATATTGTATACATAGCCACATTTTAAATCTGAAAACTTGGCAACTAAAAGTCCGGTGCAGAAACTTAAATATATTTAGATACACCACCCACATACGATTATTTGCGCATAACTAATAAATATTAATAATATGTATAGCATTGTATAGCTACCAAAAACAGTTTATTGACATTTGAGATGGGCTTCTCCGGAAATGTCGGGTTGAACCCCAAAACTACATCTTCTTTATAGGACAAGGATGATGTTAACCACTGGGTGCGTTGAAGACAAACCAATTGGCGGATCACGGTGTGTCCATACAGGTGCAGTAAAACCAATATTAAAACACATATCAGACTAGTCTCAAACCCCAAAACTCTTGGTTCTCAGGCCAGGTGAGCCGCAAAAATTTACTTGTTTTTTAACTTGGTGCCTTTCTGACGGCAGATGGTGCCAGAGTCCAGAGTAAGCTTTACCGGTGAAATGCAACACTCATTCTTATTTGAACGGCTGGCCTGCTTTTGAGTTGAACCCACTTTAGCTGTGCACCTTGCATCATTTTGCGCTCTTTACTGATCAGCTTCGTCCATGACAGAGACCTTGAAGCCCGGTCAACAGAATGTGGAATATGAGTGAAACACACTGCTGGAAATCGCACATATATCTACATATGGTACTGTTTTTTTTAAACCGTTAGTTAAACCATGTTAGACCCATGAATTTGAATGTGTCAAGGGCTTTCCATTTTCTCGAGTTCCGCATGGCGGGCGATGTCCACGCAGATGACATGGAGGGGATGTTTGGTACGCTGCAGCAGCAGGCCCATAATGATGATAGAATTTGATCCAAGATGGGATCCCCAAAATCACAATAAATGGGTGATAAAAACAATCAAACATGTGGTGGTTTATGACATTGTTTTGTGACTTAGTGTCCAGTCAACAGTGATTCCTATCTTGAATGCAGCGCAGCTTATTTTCACTTTGATAATAATAAAGTTAATACATAAAGATAAGGATGTGAGTCCGTTGTGTTCTATAATTATTTGGCAACCCCAAACATAAGGCAGTGAAGACAAAGCAACCACCTTCCTCCACGAACCTCGTGCGTTTGCGTCTAGGTTGTGCGGGACCTGCTTTGGGTCATGGTATCGCCGCACTTACTTCAGGCCTGCCCAGTGCATCAACAGGCAGCAGCGTACAAACAGGTTGGGAAAAAAGTAATCGGCTCAGTCAAAGGAGAAACTTTCGGACTTTTAGAGACTTCTTTAGGGATCTGATGTGATTTTGCTAAAAGTCCTTTGCCCGAAACTGTTTTGTAATATGCAATGCTGTTATGTTGAAGTCTCAACAGTTTGGAACTGATCCCTAGAACTTCAACCTGGAAAATAAACCGCTGGCTTGGAGAGAATATCCGACCCGCAACATCATCGGTCCAAGAGTTGGTTTTGCGATGTTTCATGGAAAGATCTAGTCTGAGACTGGGACCTCATCCTTTTTTTTGCATAGCCAAAAGGCGATTTTGACTATATAAAGAAAAGCTGGCTGGTGGTTTTCACTTCCATCTTACAGCAACTGGGATGATGATGCCAAATGACCCTGTTTTGATTTGGGAGATGGGCTGGTTCAACCATCAACCAGAGTACATTTGACTATATCGCCATGATACCATTCTATGTTGGCAAAAAAGATCATCTTCATCCCAAAATCAACAGCCATAAAAGCTTCCAATGCCAGGGCCGGGGGCCCCGACTTGGCCCAGGAGACAAGCCACAAGCTTCCGTTGTGGTCAGATCAACGTGGAGCCGACCTGGCACGCAGTAGCCGAAGCTGGCTTCGGAAGGCCATGGCTGTGTCTGGAGGAGGGGTAAACCACAGCCATTGATGGCCTTAATGATATAAACCATTGCCTATAATGATATAACCAGCTGTATAGTATACATATATATATATATGTACAATTATATATATATCAATGGCTGTGTCCATAGTATATAGTAGTATGTGTTATACTATTGTATACCACCAAATGTCATCAGATATGTTCAGAAAATGATGTTGATAACTTTGGGCGGTAGCCTGTGTCCGGACAACCCAATTGCATCCAATTGCAACAGCTTGTCGGTCCCAATCTGCCTCGGTGTTGTAGTTACAAGCAGTCTCCCCAAAATTCCCCCAGCAAAATGTTAATAATGTGGGCATAGAGGCAAATATCCTGTAAATGAAGCAAGAAAAAACAATGTTTTTCCCTGCCCATTAGCAAACCGTTTGAAAGTAAGAGAAACGTGTTTTTCCTGTGGCCGCCTGTGGCCTGTAATATGTTGTTACTGGACGTTGCTGACCTGAGTGGCACATGTTTCCCAAGATTTCATCGTGAAAAGGAACATGTGCAGTTCCAGAGATAAGATGATAAGACGTGAATTTTGTTGGCACTTTCGGCTGCATATATGTAGACATCCCCGGGTTGCTGAATACTACTTACCTGTATCTTCATGATTATGCCCCATTGATGTCCACATGATGAAGTTTGCACACCGCCATGTTTGGATGTGTTTTCCCTTCTTGAGACCTAGCGAGGTCCCAGGAGCATGATTTCATGCCGTGGCAGCCGTAGCACTAAGGAGAGTGGCTCAAGGAGTTAGATGACAACCCGAGTCCTTTGCACGAATGGCTTTTGGCACAAGATGATTTTCACAGGACCAAAAAAAAGTCCCTGGTGGCCACGGTTCTGGGTGGCAATCAGCCAGATGTCACTGCCAGAAAGAGCTATCAGCCAGAACATGGTTGTTGCTATAGTTGTTACTATTGTCGCATGGTCATCCCCTTGTTTGATGCCAAATGCTATTGGATTATCCTCATCTCAAGGAAACCGAAAACCACTAATCTGGATCCCCACGACAACGTCACTGGAATGATGGTAGGGATATCCCAAAAGCTCAGTCCAGGGAAATCTTGTTCAGAGGTGAATTGTTCAAAGTTCATACAGGCTGGTCGTGAATCCATGTTCCAAGTCCTTTTTAAGGGGGAGTTGGTTCAACATGGTTCAACCACCAGCCAGAGTTAGCCCAAAGACCTGATGCACCTCCAGGGTCGTGGCTCTGAAAAGGGGTCAGCCTGTCAGCCTGTTCCCTGGAAAATCAATCCATTGATAGACACAACGGGTGCATAAACAAATTAACTAATCATAAATATATACAATGAACACATACATACATACACTACACATACAAAAAAATAAATACATCAGTAAACAAATCAATACACAGACACACACACACACGCAAACATATTATATACATATATCATACATATTATTAGATAATATATATATATACATATATATATATATATACACATATGTCATACTCATGTGATATCCAAAAAAAGCAGGATGATCTATTATATCAATTATATCATATATACCATGATTTATTTCATATGACATATCATATGATCCAAAAAACACAAATCAAATAGCTGCAGGATTGGTCACTACTTTGCCTCCCTGGTGGAGTTTTGGCTGCGCCACTGCCCCGCTTTGAAGTCCCAGAAGGTCCTGGCGCGGCAGCGCGTGGACGTGGTCACCGAGGTGGCCTGGTTTTTTGGCGCCGGTGGGGGTTGGGTCCTACAAAAACCATGGCTTTTGAATATAGTTATCGAAGGAAGTTTAGAAGTCAAACTTCCGACAATATGGACAGATGAAAAGCAGAGTAGGGCAGAGGCAGAGAGAAGAGAAAAGATTAGAAGAGAGAAGAGTAGAAGAGAAAGAGTCAGAAGAAAGAAGATGCAGATGCGCGAAAAGGTAGGAAAGTCGCGAAACACATTGTTTTTCCAATGATTTGAGGCTCCGGAGGGTCGAAAAGTAGGCTCGCTAAAGCGGCGGGTGCGGAGCCAGCTGGCCAGATGAGAGATGAAAAATTGCACGCCGTTGTGGCGCGAAGCACATTTCGAAGTCAACATGTACAAAACACACCATTGTCGGACCACTTTTGGAAGTTGAGGTGTCGAAAAAGTGCACGCCGTTGTGGCGCGAAGCGCGTTTCCAAATCAAAATGTACAAAGCACACCATGCCGGGACCACTTTTGGAAGTTGAGATGTCGAAAAAGTGCACGCCGTTGTGGCGCGAGTCGCGTTTCCAAATCAAAATGTACAAAAAACACCAGGGGTTCGGACCACTTTTGGACGTTGAGATGTCGTTCCGCGTGGCAGGTGCAAGGGATTGTCGATCTTGTCGAAAGTGAGCAAAACGTGAAGGTTTTGTAGCAATTCCAAAAACGATGGCAGACATGGGACTTTTGAAGAGGATCTGCAAAGATGCATTTTCCGTATGAGAGATGTTAGGAGGTCAGGGCGCTCATTTCCTGAGAGGGGTTGCATTTTGGAGCATCAGATCTGTAGGTTTGCTAAGATGATTTTGCGTGACAGGTGCAGCACTTCGTATGACCTGGCAGACCTGGCATCAATTTTTCGTGGCAGGCGCAGTACTTTAGAGAGGTGGAGTAGAAAAATCGCAAAACGCATTGGTACGAGGCTGTCAGCGCTGCAATCAACTTTCCATTTTTGAAGGAAGTCTCGCAAAATTGGTTTGTTTTTGATGTTGTCAAGTTCAAAAATTGGAGAAGTCTCGCAGAATTGCTTTGCTTTGGATGTTGTCAAGTGCAAAAAAATGAAGAAGTCTCGCAGAATTGTTTCGTTGTGGATGTTGTTACGTTCAAAAATTAACAGAATTGCTTAGTTTTCAAGCTTGCAGATAGACAGACAGACAGACAGAGAGAGAGAGAGAGATAGATAGATAGATAGATAGACGGAAAGATAGATACATACATAGATAGAAAGATAGAATGATTGATTGATTGATAGATCAGGTAGATAGATAGGTTGATTGATTGATAGATCAGGTAGATAGGTAGATAGATAGATACATAGTTAGATAGGCAGATGAGATAGACAGATAGATAGACAGATAGACAGATAGACCGATGGACAGATAGATAGAGAGACAGTTTGATCGGTAGATAGAAGGAGATATAGATAGATAGATAGATAGATAGATAGATGGATAGATAGATAGATAGGTAGATAGATAGGTAGATAGATAGATAGATGGACAGATAGACAGACAGACAAATAGATAGAGAGACAGCTAAAAAATAGATAGATAGATAGATAGGTAGGTAGGTAGGTAGGTAGATAGATAGGTAAATAGATAGATAGACAGACAGATAGATAGGTAGACAGATAGATCAGTAGGTAGGTAGGTAGATAATCAGAGAGAGAGAGAGAAACAGAGAGAAAAAGAGAGAAAGAGAGGAGACCTCAAGCAAAATGATTCATTCTGCCATCCCTGATTCACAACAACCAATCTCTCCTATAGGTTTCCTATTTTTGAAACTTCCGCCACCGCCTTGTGCGGTACTACTGGTATATTAACGTATGGTGAATATGGTTGAATCAACATATAGTTCAATAAGGTATTCATTGAAAAATTTATATTCACCATGAACATATATAATATTATGTATTAATAATCCACTCATCTGTGAATAATGGCTATTATTTGGGGTTGTTGATATATAAGTATATGGTGAATCATGGGTAATTAGTGATAATTGTTAATAATGGTCAATATGTGGGATTCAGCCAATGCCAGAAACCTACCATGACTGGGGATGGTTTTTACAACTCGTAAAAATGGTGATGACTTGGGGATGGTTTCGGAAATTTGGTTTACCACATATCTGGATAAATTTTAGTTATACCCTCTGGTAAACTAACACAACTATTGAACATCACCACTTTTAAGGGGTAAATCAACTAATTATAACTGAGCCATTTTCCATAGCTATGCTAAATTACCAGAGGGTAATGACCTCAAATCCTCGCATCAATGGAATCATGGTGAGGATTCGGATAATCCTCCACAAATGCACGCACTTTTCAGCTTTGCAGATCGGTGCATGATTAGGATTCAACCAGGGAACGTGCTAATGTACCATCATACAATATGTATACTATTAAGATATCACTGTCACCATCATATTTCCAAGATATTCCCATTTGAGCAGTGGCTGCCAAACTCTGGTTGGTTGATGATTGGTTCAGGGATTATATGAACCAATATTTCATGGGAATATGGGAATCCCGTTCTCAACCAACCAGTGCAAAGGAACGACCTAGAGTAGGGTTTCGAACGTTGCTCAATCATGGTAAGTTAAATCACAAAATAGCTAGTCAAACTGAGTCCAAACCTTTGGAATCCCCTGGTGAACATGAAAATCGTTTGGATCGATGTATGACCTGGCAGATAGGTTCCATTGTGTCTCCCAACAGTGGGGTGAAAATCTATTGGTTTCCTCAACGGTCCCCCATTTAAAGAACCCACCATATAACTTGTTAGATGGGTTGGCATGTGGATTTGAATATAATTCTATATGGGTTGATGTTTTCCTCAGCTGGTTTCATTGGGGGAAGTTTGGGATGGTTGATGGTGTTTCAGTTTGTTGGCTTTGCATTTAAGACTTAGTACATCCCGCAGACACGTGCATGACCTGGGCACGCTGTACCCAGCCATTTGGGAGTCATGTTTTAGGGCCATTTGGGGCATATCCAATAACAAACCTTATTGGGTTTAACATTGCTACGAACATTTAAGATGGGCACATATGTAAACGCATATGCATTTACAATTATTAATACTTACATTTTTTTTGATATAATATCATATTATTTAATATCATATTATATCATATTCTATCATATTATTTTATTTTGTATTATATTATATTATACTGTATTGTGCTGTAATGTTGTAAAATATATTATATTATTTGATATTGTATTTTACTGTGTTATATGTTTTTGTTTTATTATGTCATATTACTTTATTTTATTTGTTATATTAAGCTATATGATAAAGTATATTATATATATATTATTCTACTTAATTCAATTTCATCATGAATTATATCAATTGATTTCTCTCTTTATTTATTTAGATTTAAACATGTATTCCCATCCCCCCAAAGCCATGGTTCAATGCTGGATCTATTCATGTTGAACCTCTGTGAGGCGCCATCAGAGGACCTTTGCGATGAGGGCGAGGGGCAGGAGCCGAAGATAGATGGCCCAACTGGGGGGCGCTACAGTTGAGTAGTTGTCCTGGGGATTTTGAGGCTGAAAGATGCTGGATTTTCCAACGAAAATGGTTTTGTTTAATTTTTCAGATTTTGATCAACGGGACGGATCGGATCTTGCGGCCCGGCGCTTCTGGATTCGGAAGTTTGCAATACTCCGCAGGGATAACCCAGAACCGCGATCCGACAATCCAAGAGTCAGAAGCAAACCAAACCACCCAACAACGTTTCTTTGGTGCTCTTGAAACCATCTTGAAACCATGTGTACTGTACCATGTTTTGATTGCCATTGATGCGTTTACTCGCGAGTAAACAAACACGGATAATGTATATACATCTGGCGGCTTGCATCAATTTATAAACACAGCAAGTGCCAGCTCAAGTGGAGCAATCTCGCTTCAGAAGCTCATGGCGAGTTCCTTCCTGGATAAACTATATAAAGGCTGACCTCGTATAGACCCGTATCTGACCTCGTATAAATGCACCCTTTTCCACCACCACAGTTTTTGATATGCAACCCTTCTGTCCAAACCTGACTTGTGAATCCGGAGTTCCAGTATGAATTAAAACACACTGCGCATGAGATTCTGGCAGGAGTAGTCTTGAGAAGCGGAGTTCACATGGGGATTTGCTCAAGTGGTTTGGGCAGGTCTGAATCATCAGTAAAAGCCAGCGTTCCATGTAAACGGTGAATTATCAAGCAAATATGTTTAGTAGTTTGGGTACCGGCGTTCCATTGGAAATAGGCTTCTGGAAGTGAGTGTTTTCTCATCTACAAAGTGCAAGCATTAAAGCGTTTCCATTCGGTTTCATAGTCCAGGCCCTGCCTTTTCTGACTTAGCCGTGACCACGGCGTTCCATGCAGGAACGCATATTCTGGCACCACCGGTCCTTCCTTCAACGTTCACCTGTACTTCTCCAAGGTGAAACATGTTGGAACCATGAGGCTCTCCGGGCTCTCCGATCATCCTGCGCAGGATCTCTCTGGCGAGGTGGTGAGGAATCAGTTGAAGTTCTTGGCAAAACTGCAGGCAGGAGATTCCAGCATTCCATGGGAGAGTTGTCTGGTAGCTGATCCATGGTTTGCGGGTGGTATTTGTATGTATTTGCTTGCCAGATTGCCATGATATGCCATGATTCAGGTGTTCCACTGCCACGTGTTATTTTCATGTTCAATCCCAGCTGGGATCCCAGATTATTCCAATATCAGCTGGTTCATACTTGCAACTTGGTTGTGGTTCTTGCCATGTTGAATTGCCGAAGGTAATGATGTGACATTCGCCTCATTTTTCTTTGGTTTTTGGCCAGCTATTTGGCAGTCAGACCGTTGCATCTGTTGCATCCTAACATGAAGCAATACTGTCATGATCCCTGTTCAGTTCAAGACCGTCAGGTGGCAAGGTAACTCACTTCAGTCTCAAAGTAATATCTTGGTATCTCTCACATTACTCTGAGCAGACCCAAAAATATGACCTAACTGACTTGAACATATAAGCTTTAAAGGGATATGTATTGTTTCAAAACCATCTTATTTATTGATATCTCTCCACCAAAGGAACCCTGGGATGATTTATCCAATGGACCCAGCCAGGGGGATGAGGCCCTTCACGTAGAAGCAGCCATTCACTTCAGCCCCTTGGTAGATCCCATGGTACATCAAAAGATGCATACTGCTACATTCTGATTCTAACGGGTACGGTTTTGTCACACACACACACACATATATATATGCGTTAACGACATTCAAATATGTGGAGGACGGGCCAGACCGCGAGGCCCCGGAGGTAGTATGAAATACCAGTTCGTACATTTAAATGTAGATACCGCATGTTTAAATGAATTGGATTCCGTATGTTCAAATGGCCGGGCGGGCCAAGGAAAACCTTCCCGGAGGTAGTCTAAAGTACCAGTTCGTATATTTTAAAGTCCGTATATTTAAGTGTAGTTACCTTATATATATATATATATTTTATATAATGGACTAATATAATGGATACGATATGTGTATATTAGACTAAAATAATGGATGCGATATGTGTATATTATAGATAGACCGATATCATAGATATAGACGTATAATATCCATCATAAGTGTATATTCAGTGTATACACATATATAATGACTTGACCAAGAATTCGCAGGCATGAGATTCAAGAGCTCCAAGGTTTGGCGCGTGGAGCACGAGAGGTCGATGTGGTGGCCTCACGTTTCGCCGGAGGAGGGGTTTGCCTTTCCCTTTGGTGATGATATGAGACATTATGGGACATTATGTGACTATGTGGGTGTAAAACAGTATCTAACCATCAATGGAGAATTCACCATGATTTTTTTCAGGGTGGGATAACCATGATTATATATAATGATATAATGGGACTAGCAAGGAATCATCCTGAAATGGAAGAACCAACTGGATGATTATACATATGATGATACAATGGGAGACAAACAACATATTTGGTGGTTTAGCAACATTGACAGTAACCTCCGGTGACTTAGCATGGCAAACTGCAAAGAACATGTTCGGTAATGCGCAACATAGATCAAAATAGGATGGTCATCGAACTATGTAAGTTGGCAATTTTCCATTGCCAAGTGAAAATCTAGAGGGAAACGCGGTTTTTGTCGTGTAAAAGCGGTCGGATGGTCAAAAGAAGCATTGGAAGCATGTTCATTTTCAGATATCATGATTGGAGGTTACTAGTTGCCATCTCCATGAAGAGGAATCTCAAAGAAACATTGATGTTTGTGTGCCCTTAGACCGGCAATAGGTTTGGATTTCTCAATTCCACAGCATGTGTTTTGCTGTGGCTGCAAAGAGTCATGCGACTACTGCTATTGTCATGTAGAGTTCAGGGTCCACGTGGTTCCCATCATAGCCATTTTCGTGTCAGTAGGATTTCTGCACGAGTCCTTGTGCTGGCGCATTCTGGAAGCCCGTCCCTTGCTTCACAATTTGTGGCATTTGATTTGCACTTGGCGCGTGAGACTTGGGTTTGCGCATGTAAACAGGTTAGTTACCATTACTTACCTCTACATCCACTGGGTTAAGCATCACTTTCCCCATGACAAATTTGGGGCCCCAAAGACAATCTGCTCAGAGGGTGATCGCCGCTGATGCCAGTCCCTGAGGTTTTTTTTTTCCAAGGTTTGTGGGTCAAAACTTCGAGAACCAACGAATGAACAAAATGTGTGTTGTATTTGTTTGTAGTAGATACCCATCCACTTTCTTTGGGCCTGGGCTCAATGATTTTGAGCCATGCTCAAACGTATCCATATGCTTAAACTCAAACCCAACTGAATACACATGCGTACTACAGAATTAGTTTTGTCACGCTTATGATGTCTATCAAGTCTCACTTGGGAAATATTCCGTGTGTGTGTGTATACATACACACACACTCCTATTAGATAATTGCTGATGTTCCGATACACCCCATTAGTCAAGATAGTTACTATAGACAAGTGGGGTTACCACCAAAAAGGACCAAATATATTCAATATATATATTTTTAATATGTGAACGCACATACACACGCATATATATCTATACATATAATTATATATATACATATATATAAACATATATATATATGTACATATACCTGTCATCATGTCCAACCCGTAGTCATCCCAACCAGTGGCATTTGGGACCAGTCTCTGGAGGCATCCGCACACGGACAGCTGCAGAGCCCGTGGTCGCTAGCATGTTGCGTGACTGGTGCCTGGCTTGAAATGGGGAAATCGTGGGTTTGAAATCATCGAATTTGGATATGGAGCTTTGAATGGAAAAATTGTTCAGAGCATGGAACTAAATGGTGGATTTTCCATTGCCATGTTTGTTTACAGAAGGGCATCTGATTTTTTTGGTAGATTGCTGTACATAGATTTTCCGCAAGAAACCCTGGAATTTAGAGGATCAATGGGGACATATTGGATAGGGAATATAAGCAACAATAGACAGAGATAGAAAGAAGAGAGAGAGAGAGAGAGGGAGAGAGGAGATTATGGCCTCCTACCACGTATCAATTCTGGATAGTCAAAGCTAATATGGAGCCCTGTACCCAAACTCTGATGATTCTCCTGGTGACTGTCAGTGAAAGGGCAATCCAAGATAGAAACAACATACATTAGGACTATATAAACAAGAAATAAGGGGTTCAACATAGTTTCAGTAACAAGGCCAGGGATTTGTAAAGCACAGCAATGGGCTTTAGATCGCCAAAATGCAAGACCCCACCCAAGACTTGGGGCTTTAGATCGCCAAAATGCAAGACCCCACCCAAGACTTGGGGGTTTAATCACTTTTCACGGACATGTCAACAAGGATGAGGACCAGCAAAGAGAATCAAAGAGACACTGTGAGACACTACTATTGATACTTTTGGGCCTTTGGGTATGATCTCTCGTTGGAGATAAACATTTGCGGATTTGAAGGGGCCACGTCAAATGGTGCCATGTCAGACGCTCATCCGAAGCTTCGTGGTGCACTTCCATATTCCATGGCCTGGCATGGGTATAAAGTATATTTACACTCTGGTAATTTAACATAGCTATTGAAAATGGCCATTTATAGCGGATTTACCCATTGAAAATGATGATTTTCCATAGTTATGTTAGTTTACCGGAGGGTAAGAACAAATTGGTGCATACGATACATGCATTTAAATACAGACATATCAATGGTGCGACTGCATCTCTACATGTGAAGTTAGTTTTGTGCATATGATTTCGTAGACTTGCCTATATAGCTGGATATGTGCCCTGCTTGAATCACGTCCGCTCCGTTGCCCCTGAACCACAGGTTGACGTAGTCTGAAGGATCTAGATTCAATGGGGGAGCAGCGCAGAGATGTGTGAGTAAGGCTCGGTTTTATTAAGATGGTCGAGGATTGGCTCTGGACAGCTTGCCAGTTGTTTGAAAGCGGATGGCTAGATGGACTGCAGGGTGCGCCTGGCTGTCTTCCTGTCTTCCCGCATGCAGTTAAGGCCAGATTCGATTCGGACTGGCTGGTTCCGCCATTAGTTTCTGAGTCCTTTCGGGATATCAGGTCCACCAGCCGATGTCTACAGATGTGGCGATGTCTACAGCTCAACGAGTTCGCAACCATGTTTGTTGGCTGCCGTGCACTTGTTCGGTATTAGAATGCATACATGCATCGTATTAAGTCATGTGCATATGCATGTAACTTAATACATGTGCACATAGAAATATGTGGTTATAGATAGATTGGATTGGAATAGATTCTATAGATTAGATTGGATGGGATTACATAGATAGGTTAGGTTAGTTTGGATTGGATTGGATAAATTAGATCTAGATAGGTAGATAGGTAGATAGGTACCAGGTAGATAGGTTTTATCTAGATAGGTAGATAGGTAGATAGGTCGAGATGTATATATATAATTATATATATAATTATATATATATTATATATATATATATAATTATATATATCATAATTATATATATATAATTATATATATATAATTATATATATATTATATATATAATTATATATATAATTATATATATATAATCCTCGTTTATTTACACATAATGATGTTGTAGTGCTTTGGACACCTTTCAGTACGACAGCCCGGGAAGCCCTCAGGCTTGGCGCGTCACCGAGCTCACATTTTTTGCTTCGTGGCTGCATCTTTTACCAGGCCGCGGTCGGGGAAGATTTTGGGAACCCAGCAGTTGATCCTTTTCGAATGACTGCCTGGTTGGTGGTTTGGAACATGGCTTTTATTTTTCCATATATTGGGAATAATCATCCCAACTGACTTTCACATTTTTCAGAGGGGTGGAAACCACCAACCAGCTGTAATACTGTGGATGGAAGAAATCCTGCACCAGTTGGCAACCGTTAGGTAACTATGAAACACGGAAAATAATGGGATTAAAAGGGGATGAACAATATACTGACTGGTGCAGAATTTCTTCCATCCACAGTATTAATGGGAATATTGTGAAATCTATAGGATATATAGCCTATTTTCCAATTGCTATAGGCTATAGTCATCCAAAAATAGGTGGGGACACCAATTTCAATATGAAATTTTGAATGTGGTCAATGCTGAACCACTATTTTGGATGTCGCCCTCCTACGTCAAAACAAAAATGAAAATCGGCACATTTTAGCGACCTCGCAGGAATGTCACTGTAGATAGCCCAGATCCAAAGGCATGGAAAAGATCAACATGGCCAATCATGATGAAGAACGAGGCGATACAGCTGAGATACAAGAAACAAAGAACCACAGAGACCATTCGCAACCATACGCAAACATCAGGTTTTTAAGTGTCTACAGTCTTTATATATGGTGCATGGATGCGAAAAAAAGTGGAAATAGCGCACAAGACTGAGTATATACTGCAGCAATGAGTGGGTGATTCAGGGGTAGACCAAGGGCCTAATAACCAAGAACAAATTGGAGAGGGAAGAAGCTGGTTGGCTCATCATGGCTAATCAATTCTGGGCAAGATGAATTGAAGAGTGCCATTTGGTGATTCTAGAGCTGAAGGCAGCCACTAATTTCTGAATTGGATTTATATAATCAGAGCTGTTCTATAATATAATCCCTTCGAGCCTTCGAGAACCATTCAAGCAAACTGCTTTGCGGAGTTTCAGGTACTTAATGTATATCATATGTATATATAACTATATATATAAATATAACTATATATATATAACTATATATATATATAACTATATATATATATTCAACATTGTTGTTCTTGCAGATCAGATCCAGCCCTTGCTAACAAGCCTTGGTCCATGGGACAGATGGCTTCTGTGGGAGGCCAAGCTGGTTCTACCTTGTCGACACCCAGACACTGGCCGACTGGCCGCTCACGGCCCAAGTGATTTGAGCCGCTTGGAAGTCAGCTGTCGCGCACACAATACCCACGCAATAGGAAACTCGGGAAATGTTGTAGGGTTTTTACTTCGATGTACAACATTTGCTCAGTTTCTGTAGTGTTTCCCAGAACTGCTTTACGCCGGCAGTTCTTTGGCTACATTAAACCTTATAGTAGAATAACTTTACATATGCAAGTCCTGTAAAGGCTCATTTTAGACTTTCGTCATTTCCCAGTGACTCAACAGTTACCTGCACTTTTTTGGGGGGGAACATTCAAGCACCATGTTCCAGAGTTCGTTGTAGGGGGAAATCCACAGAAAGCACGGCGGACCAATGCTATCCCATAATTTGCTAGCAACAAAATTGGTGTTCTGTCAATGTTCCCGTAAATTGACGCAGTGAATGCGAGCATAGTCACGAACTGGACTATATACCTCATAGGATATACCTCATAGGAGGGTATGGCTATACAGTTATATATATATATACATATATACATATGTATGTATGTATGTATGTATGTAATGTAATGTAATGTATGTACTGTATGTAATGTATGTAATGTATGTAATGTATGTAATGTATGTAATGTATGTAATGTATGTATGTATGTATGTATGTAATGTAATGTAGTGTAATGTAATGTAATGTATGTAATGTATGTAATGTATGTATGTATGTATGTATGTATGTATGTATGTATGTATGTATATATGTATATATGTATGTATGTATGTATGTATGTATGTATGTATTAATGCATGTAATGCATGTAATGCATGTAATGCATGTAATGCATGTAATGCATGTATGTATGTAATGTATGTAATGTATGTAATGTATGTAATGTATCTATGTATGTAATGTATGTATGTTTGTATTGATGTATGTATGTATGTATGTAATGTAATGTATGTAATGTATGTAATGTATGTAATGTATGTAATGTATGTAATGTATGTAATGTATGTAATGTATGTAATGTATGTAATGCATGTAATGTATGTAATGTATGTAATGTATGTAATGTATGTAATGTATGTAGTGTATGTAAAGTATGTAAAGTATGTAAAGTATGTAAAGTATGTAATGTATGTAATGTATGTAATGTATGTAATGTATGTAATGTAT